ACTACATCCCCCGTAACCGCCTACCCGCTCGCCCACCACCCATTCGCGCCCCCTCTACTCCGCAGCTCTCCGGCGAACCTTCGCCCACACACGTACAGACACGCACATACAAACCACCCACATTATACAACAAACGCAGAAACACAACCGCAATGACGCTTATCTTGTCGTGTTATAAAACAAGCTGCTCTTACCAAATATGAATGAGGATGCCGAGGAGAGAGGAACTCGGTGAGAGATGCGAGATAGAATTTATTAATTTTGGAGACCCAAGGCTTTTTTCTACGCGATGTGACACGTACGTGGTAAGAAAGTGTGCTGAAGAGGAGAGGGTCTGCTCATGTCGAGAGTACTCACAATCATGACGGGAATGCGCAATTATTATTACGGATGCTAGAGGAAACTGGATTGCATGCTAATCAGAACCGCGTTAACCTCCATTACGTTTAATCGAATGTAATTTCCTAAAGCCTATATTTAGTGCGGATGGATGCTGCGAATGTACGATTATATTATAATGTAACTCGAAGCGTGAGACACGTGAGCGAGCAATTGATTAGTAGATTGTTCGCGATTTGATCATGAAGCTGTGAATGCGAACGTGCGTGAGAAGTTTTAATTGTGGCTTGAGAGGGGGAGCGGACGAGGGAGTGTCGCAATATATCGATGGTGGGACATTCGTGAAAGAAAAGCCGATGGGAGGGAGGGTGCTTTCACCAGCGTCCGTATGAATCCAAAGGATCCAGCAGGAGAGGTTTTATTATTTATTCTCTTACGTCGGTAATAAAGATTATATAATGAAGGGACAAGAGAAGTGTGTAATTCACGCACATAGGGCGTAAATCTCTTGCTTATAGTTACTTTTTTTTCTTTTTTTTTTTTTTTATGCTAGTTGTAGATAATGTATAAGCAAGAATAAAAAAATCATGCATTATTATTGCGTCTGTATTTAGGATTATAACGAGGCGACAGCATTCGGTGTTTTCGTTCAATTGCGTAGCGATGTTTGTTTTTATTACTATTATCATTATCATTATTATTATTATTATTATTATTATTATTATTATTATTATTATTATTATCATCATCATTATTTCTTATTCTTTCGTGAAGTGAAAGAAAATAAGAAAATCGAGTCCCAGCTCGACTCGGTCGCGGTGGCTCGGCATTTTTCCTCCGTTCGTTCATCTTTTCTTCCCTTTTGTTTCTCCACTTTATTTTCTTTTTGTTGTTGTGTTTTTTTTTTTTTTTTTTTTTTTTTTTTTTTTTTTTATTTCGTTTTGTCACACGACTGGTGCCAAGTGCGATCTTTCACGGGCTCGGGCAAAAGGGAAGATGCAAGTTGAAACGTCGCTAAAGCAAAAATGTCGCGATAGTCAAATGGAATTGAACCCAGTGAGGCTCGTCCAGTTCACGATAATCCCAGTGATTTGAAACTTTGGAAATGTACCGGCCGGTTTTCGAATGGAAATACACGTGGCATTGATAACCACACTGGCCCGACTTGTTCTTTTCGTATTTTCGCACGTTTAACGTTTATTTTTCTTTCTCCCCGCTGTCACGGGGCATTATCGCTTATCGTTATCCCTTTCCTTATCTCTTCGTGATTTTGCTAATCGTGATTGCACGAGTGTCGCTAAGTCTCGCAAGAATTGCATTGCGAGCAAATAGGGTTTGGCGAACGGCTAACCCAGATTCTCATGAGAATTCGCATGCTTTTGGTGGAGTAGCATAATCGGCTGGATGATGAATCAAACGAAGCCAAAAAGACGGGGAAAACTTCACGGCGTGGGGCACTTGTAATACCATTCATAAAACATAAGAGTTTATGGACTTTGAGCGACAATTATAATAAGAATAAGAAGCGCGTTGGTAGTCTTTTCTTTAGTGTGTGTCGTGTCACTGCGCCTCGTATGTCGAAGTGAACGACTCGCGACCTTGATCTCGGTTTTATTGAATCTGTAGCGAGGCGGTGAGAGAATGTGGGCGTACGTCGGTAACGAGAGTAGATCGAGTGTTTTCGTGTTTATCATGACGGACGACTTCTTTGTATTTCGATTTTTAATGGTCTGTGAGCTGGATAATTTTGGCTTGAAATGGAAATGGAGTTTCAATTGAAATAACGAGGCTAGGCCAAGGAAGTCTTAAATTTCCAATAAATATAATACCTCCCAATTACAATCGAAAGATGCAAAATTATGATTTTTCTTTCTTTCTCGTTCGCTACCATCGTGTTTCGAAAATTCCATTGCGACTTTGGGAATGACCGATGGACTTGGCTCAAAGCGGATGACATAACGTATAATTTAGACATTCTGTCAATATTGAATTATACCGTTAACCATCTGATTTTATCGATTGTTCTCAATCAGAGGTCGAGAGAACAAAAATCTAAATATCATTTATTCGATCGTTCATTTTTTCTTCTTCTGTTTTTGTTGCCCAATACAAAGAAGTTGTAATTTATTGCACTCTATATTGACGTTCAGCCGCAATTTTTCGTGTGTATATACATGCGCGTAGTTCGGGGGCGCAAGATAATCGACTTGGCGACCGCGATTTTTCTCTTATAATATACTTTTTTCTTGTTTCCTCTTAGAAGAATCAACTCCTAAATGCTTCACGAACACGTGGCTAAGTTACCAACGATACGATCGTACGCTTTTCTCCTTCATTTTCACGTTAACATTAAAATCTTAAAGAAGCAATTGTTTATATAATCTATTATCATTGCTTATGTCATCTCTTGTCGGAATAGTTGGAAGCGCGCGGCACTCGCAGTAGAAATTTTCGCAGGATTAACAAAACCGTCCGAATATACTGACAAAAGAGATATCCTTTTTCTATAAGCCTTCGGTAAAACATAAATACGTAAAAGATATTCCTAATTCTAATTAAATGAGAAATGATAAATGTATGAATACTCATGATAGCGAAGTGAGTAAAGACAATTTATTAAACCGGTGAATATATCCTGCAACGTTCTTAAAGTGCCGCGGGGCTTCGTAAATATTATACAAGTCGCGGATTAATCAGACATCGAGATTGCGTTTGCATTATTATAATCAATTAATAATCCATTTCTTCGTTTCTTCATTCGAGTGGCGGGAAGAAGATGAGAGAGGGGGGGGGGGGGGTAGGTTTGTTGGGGGGGGGGGGGGGG